AGAAGTATTATTGACGTTCGTTGTTATAGCGTTTGTTTAGTGCGATTGTTGAAGTTGAGTGTATCGGTAAAGTTATATTCGGAAAGAATAAACCAGTTTTTATTGAGAAAGAACTTGTGTCGCTTAAGTTTCGTTGGAACGAAGTTACGGAAAAGTAATTAACAACCGGAGACGTAACAATATATATACACACACACACACCCTATAGTAAAATAAGGTATGTAGCAGTTACATAATATATTAGTGCTCATGCCTGCTTAAAACAGATTCCTGCAACATACACAGTGTCATATTACAGATTACTTTTCCACCAATACTCTGATGAAACTCATTTATCCTTATAGGAGGTGCAGAATATACAATGTACATGACTTCAGTAAAATAAAACTTCATTACAATGATACTCTTAAGAATGGAAATTAAATTTCAATTCAGTTCTCCATTTTTTAAAGTTCAAAACATCTGTTCCATTACATGTTTTTTTTTGCTGAAAAATAAATTATTTTTGTCCACAATTTTAGTTTACTACTAAAATGAACTTGTATTGTGTAGTTCTGGTGACCAACAAGAGTGGTTAATAACAGATCTCAATAATCACTCAGATATGACAGAAATTTACTCAGATATTTAACATTACCTAAAGTTTAATTGTAGGTTAGCTAAGATACATAAAAAAATATATTTAAACACAAAATACTTTGAATATGGATGAAAAAATCTGGAAATTACAAAGTATAAATGCATCCTTAAATCATTGCATCACAAATAGAACAAACCAGCACTATATGACACAGAATTTCTAAAATCTAGATACAGTTGATTTTCACACAAGGTTTATGAATTTATCAAACCCTAATTTGCTTCTTAAATCTTAAGGATATAAACCTTTTACTTTTGTGTCAGATATTTTAAGCTATACATAACTGCCCCCCCAGTGGCACAGCAGCATGTCTGCAGACTTTTACTGCTAGAAACCAGGTTTCGATACCTGTGGTGGGCAGCGCACAGATAGCCCATTGTGTAGCTTTGTGCTTAATAACAAACAACAACCATACATAAGTATTGTTTTTTTTAATACTTACCCTGGCGTCCATCATCCCCAATATCTCCAGTATTGCCTGGCGGTCCTGGTGGACAAAAACCACAGTCATCCCCTTTAGATCCCTGAAATCCTGGCTCACCATTTTTACCTGGAATCCCAGGAGATCCTGGTTCTCCAGGAGGACCTGGAAGTCCACGCTGACCAGGTGGTCCAGTTTTCTGAACACCAATTCCAGGGGTACCTTTTGGTCCTATTAAAAAACAAATTCATGTATATATTCTAGAGCATGGAAAAAAAGTATGATTACTTTTACAAAATATATTAGGTTTAAATTTTAAACCTTGTTTGTTTTAGTATTAAAATACTAGTTTTATTAACTGTTTTTGGAAAGGCCTACACTGTAAGCTCCATACAGTAAAAAAAAACAACAACTATACCTGGAGGGCCTGGATCACCTCGTTGGCCAGGAAGTCCTGGAACTCCAGCCCAACCAGGTTGTCCCTCTTCCCCTGGTGGACCAATGACAGTGTTTCCAAGCTGACCTTTATCACCAACTAGACCTTGTAATCCTGGTACACCAGGTCTTCCAAATGGACCTTGTTTTCCTGAAAGTCCTAGAATACAGGAAAATGGACCATTCAAAGCTGTTTTTTTGTTTTATATCAAACGGATAAAATTGTATTTGAAAAATTACAAATTTCTCTAAAGGAGGTATTAATTGTAACAGTACTTTTATACAAAACAGTATAATCCTATGAGGTTACTATAAGAAAAATATATGCTAAATTTAAAGCTAATCTACTTTACAACTTTTGAGAAAAATTAACAAAAAATGGATAAAACACATTAATAAATTGCTTTCAACACTACAACCTAGTTTACATCACATACAGTTCTAGTTTACTTTAGTGTTTAAAAACTAAAATAAAACAAAACTCAATGTACATATAATTGTATAATTTTTAGTCTAAACTATTTACTGGATATTAATGTATATATCATAACTAATATCAATCAGTATTTTGTCAGTAAAATAAGAAGGGACAATGACAGCGTAATAGGTTAAAAAAATATTTCTACTTGAGAAATATATGTTTTGTAACAAACACTTGATAAAGCACTAAGTAAATGTACTTCACTAATATTTAGGTACATTTAACATGGACATAAGAATTATAGTGGTAAATATTTTCTGTCTCTGTACTCTGTTTCAATCAATTTTACCATGACCTGTTATAAAGCAATAAGAGCATTAAAAGTGCCTATTAATTAGCTTTGTCATTAATTAGTCATGTATGGACAAACTTGTCAGACATCAAGACAGTTTTATAATAAATGTATGCTGCTCTTATATACAATAAAAGAGATCGACATTTGAACACTACCATCTTCTCCAGGTTCTCCTTTGAAGCTAAGTCCTGATGGACCTGGTTCACCTGGGGGACCTTGGAGACCTGGTATTCCAGGATAGCCCCGATATCCCACAGGTCCAACATTTCCAGGTTTTCCTGAGAGCAGAAAATGAGAATAAATATCATCAAGCTAATATAACTTCTCTAAACATAATATAATGTAATGTGAAAAAACAGCTAAATAAGAGTACTTCTATAATACATGCTTCAAACTAATCACTCAAGTTCAGGGTTAGTTTGATATTTAATATATTTACACAGTATATTAAAGAATATAATATATATTTAATCACCTAGCAATGAAATCATAAATATTAGATATAAGTTTACTATTTAATATATGCAATGTGCCCAGAAACAATCTTGATTTTTTTCATTTTGCTATAATTCTCATATTTACATGTATATCTAATACTATAAATATTAAAATAATATAATTGATATCCAATACATAGAAAATAGGACATTAATGAACAAGGCTAATCTTTCAATTACCTATATATCATGAGTTTTGTTTGATATTTGAGGCACATACATAATATGCCCAAGAGTAAACACTCATATGGTATAAATTCATGTTTTATATAATCAATATTCAAATGATACAAACAACGATAGCCATTTCTGGAGAAACAAGAAAATTCTACTTTCACTTTGATATAAAGTAATATTTTATTAATTTAGACAAGATACTTTTATTGATCCCCCAGCATGCTTCTCTGAGGTGTTGTATGATGATTGTGATACTGCTCTCCTCTCTGAATTGAATAAACTATCATTGATTGTTGCAAAATTATTTGAACTTGGCTTCGTCTGTAAAGAGCACTCGCTTCCAGCTTTACTCATTTTCTTGTTTGAAGTCTTGTGCCCATTTCTGCTTTTTGTTTGTTCATTTTTCTAAACAGTACTTTTGAGCAGTTACACATCCATTGAGGTTACTTCATCTTAATCTGTGTCTTACTGTTTTGGAAAACAATTCACAACTATACTTACACTGGTAAGATCTCTACTGGATTGTCATGTATAATGTACATGAGTATACAAGAGTATACTCTGAGTGATAAACATCACTTCTGAAAAGTTCGAGCACTTCTTCACATCCCCTCTTCAGAGTTTTCATAAAATTCCTAATGAAACATTAAATTTTGCATTATTTGTCACATGGAGTAGTCTTTCTACCAGCCAAACCTTTGATTTCTATACATTTGTCATGTGGCACTTGTGTCTTTGGAGTTATAAGTGCATTATCCACACTACTACTGTGAATAGTATAACTACCTGTAATCTTGTAGGTATTATGATGATGTGGCACTGTCCAATTGACTGAATGATAGCCAATCACTATTGACACATGCTTTTACTCTAGTGGAGTTCATATTTATAAGATAAAGTTAGGAGCAATCCAATAATATTTACATTTTATCCACTCTTTCCTTAATTATTTTCAATATCGTATATTAACCTGAAACTTTCATTTAGCAACAAATACATGGATTTACACAGTACCTGGATTTCCTGGCTCACCCCTTTCACCCACTGGACCCTGAGAACCTGGTGAACCAGGAAGAGGTTCACCAATTGGTACAGTTGGTCCAGGTGGACCCTAGTGTGAAAAAAATAGTTAATGATAACACACATAAACATTATTGTAAGAAAACCTTATCATACTAAAAATGTTTTACTTCGGCATAAAACACTCTGCATACATAAATATCATATAGTTTCTTATTCAGTTTTAAAACCTTGATAGTAAACAAAAACATTCTTGGCAATATCCTGATAAACAATTTACATATGCAAAGTAGTCACAGTTAGATGATAAGGTATGTATGTAGAGAAAGATGGAGAAGCAGACATACTGATGGATAAAAGGATATATAGATGTTGATGTGCAAACAGTAGAAAACAAAATGACACAGACAAATATATTAGTAAAGCTACCTTAATAGATACAAAGATCATAAATTGAAAATAGCAAAGGTTTCTAATATTAAATAAATATCCAAAGATCTGGTTGTCAAATGAAATTATTGGAACTCACAGGTGGACCCTGAAGACCATAGCTTCCAAGTCTTCCACCTTCACCAGGTGGACCCTAGCAAGAAAATAAGATATTTTGATTTAGACATGACATATATAACCATTATATATAAAGTATGGATACACCTCCTCATTTATAAACTGCAATTGCTTCTTCAACACTGCATCTAGGCTATTTCATAATAGAGATAATTTTCCCTTTCAAAACTCTGTATGAAACATGTAAAGTAAAAATAGAGAAAGGAAATTTGGGCACTCCAAGAAACAGCTGTTAATTAACGTTGAATACTAACAGATCTGGGTCATTTCTGATTAACATCAGTTAAGTGGTTTTTCAATGAGTATTTTCATACAAAAACTCTACACAAATATTCTAATACAAAATTAATACTGCAATATCAACTTACTCTAAGAATCTAAGTTTATTAATACTAACAATCCAGTTAGTTCAGGTCACTTTTTGTATGAAAAGCAGGATCTTTAAAAAAATTCTGCATCTGTAGGTTTTAATTTAAAACTATTAGTTTTACAACTTCACATTTAGATCTCTCATTCTAGAAGTTTTATTGAAAAAAATTAGATTGCTTGAATATTCTTTTTATTGATCTTCTTCCTGCAGACTTCTTGTTTTTATTTACTTTTGTAATTTATTGGATCTTTAAACACATCTTCCTGCATACTCCTTCCTTACTGACTTCTATAGCTTGAACTTTTATATATGTCCTCTTCCTGTAGATGCCCTTCTTGGTTACCATGGACACTTAGCCTATAAATACATCTTCCGTCATGTTCTTTAATGTTTACTGTGGACATTGAATCTTTAAATACATTCTCTTCCTACAGACTTCTCATTAGTTATCATGGTCATTGAACTTTTAAATGCACCCTATTCTATGAACTCTTTGTTGAAAATTGAACTTTTACATGTACAGATAAATGGATCAATGCCACAGCAGTAGGTGTCTTGCAGACTTATTAAGCCTTTTTTATAACAGGCTGTAGTCAGCTTATACAAGAAAGGAAAAACACCAACACTAATGCACCTTAACCTCCTCAGTAATTTATCTTCTCACAATGATTTGTAACTAGATGCTGTGAAGAATTGTTAGGCAATCTCCAAAGTATAGTTCATTTACACCATTACCTGTAGAGCACAAATATACCTTTGAAATTGATTATATAGCATTAAAATAATTACTGAATTTTTAGAATCTTGAAAACTATATAGTAAAATGGCTATAAAACTCAATCAGAGGTAGGTTATCATTATGTAGAATCACCCTAAAAAAATTAATTGACCATTAAGTAGGAGCTACAGTGAAATATAAAAAGGACAAATTAAGAAGCTCAACAAGGCCAACATAATATAAAGACACACTGATGTTTCTATGCATATTCACTGGGCAGCAGTGAATTTAAATGAGCCAGAAAAAAAGCTATACTATGGACAGTCTTAAAACTTTAGAAATGTAGCAATGTCCCCAAAATCACAGATTAATATGTATTAGCTGTGGTTAGATCCACTGTCTTGTCTGACACCTTGAACAGAAACTGGGAAGGTGACAGCGGCCACAGTTTTCCAAAAACTGGACTGCTATACAATGAATGTCTGAAATTTTACCGAGGGTTCATGTTAAAGATTTGTCAAAGAATGGTGCCTAACCTGGGTGAAGCACTACTCAGGAGTGTATATATCAGGTAATGGGAACAAGCAACCAAAGCAGACAGAAGCATGTATGTACTGCACCAAAATAAAATGTTACAACATTACTACAAAGTTGATTACTCAATTTGTAACAAAATATGAAGTACTCATTAAACTTCAGTTTGATCAAGGTTGAAACTGATGTTAACAAATACCAGAAAAGTCTTTTGGTATAGAAAATATAATGACAATACTTCCTTCCTATAAAGAACAAACTGTAGAACAATATAGTTAGTCACAATGATGAGAGACAAAAAATATGCCATCATGATATGTCACCCTTCTTTGATGAGTAATAAAATAGCAATATGTGAGGTACAGACTACACTCCAGCATTTATATTTAGTAGAGAAATGAAAATACCATCAAACCTCTCTTAAGACCAATTTTAAGATGATAATGAGTTAAGAAAAACCTAAATACTTACATAATTCATATGATATCCATAAATCTACCTATGAAAAACTAAAGTTAATCAGTAATAAATCAAGAAAACAGTATGACACCAATCTTACAAGTTTTAATTTCAGCATAGTAAGAAGATGCAGTTATAAAACTTGAAAATCAGAGATGGTTTTTCTCTAGCTGAGTCCAAGGGAGAAAAGATCAATAATGCTGTTTACCGTATCTCAAGAAGCAAAACAGATCTACAACCCAATGTTTGTTCATCTTGAACATCTGTGGATATATTCCCTTTTCCCTATGAAAAGTCTATTTACTAATTTACTATGAATGTGAAGATTCTTTAAAGAAAAAGTCAGCTAATCAACATTAAAACAGAATCAAGTTCTCCAAAATCTCAGCCTGTGAACTAAGTCTGTGTTCTTAGTGGAGAATAGACTTGAAAAGTATTCTGAAAATAAGCTAAACAGAAAGATACAGGTAATAAAATTTATATCTTATCTTAATATTACTAAATATTATGGCACTTAATAATTTCTATGGCTTGCTTTTGTTTCATTATCTCTTTAATGTTCATACTTTAAACAGCCACTTTATATTCAATGCTTTCAACTGTTTTTTTTCTTGACACTTCAAAGATTATTACAAATTTCATTAAGGTGCTTAGCCTAAATATTAATTAGCACATCAATATCAATGTACCACTGATACATTTTCTACTTTTAATATCTGAGAACCGTCAAAAAAGATGTGATAATTTTAAGGATCTAGCACGCAGTTACCTGTTCTCCAGAATGACTAAAGATTCAAGGACACAGGATGTGGAAGGACATGTGTAGTGATTTGAAGTATTGGGATAAAAGAAACAAGATTTGGTGTGAAGTTGAAGCAAAATGTAACATTTCATTTGTTGATGAAAATAGAAGAACTACCAGTCGTATAGGTGGAAACAATTGTTGTGTTGTTATAGATTAAATTGAAAAGTAATAAATAAAAGGTTAAAACATGTAAAAAACTTCAACAGTAAGTCTTGAATTTTTCAGGATAGAAAAGAATCTGCTCTCTCTCTCTCTGAAGACAGAAAGAAATCTGCCCCAAAACTGCACTCACAATGCAGATTCTCTTTGTAGCTGACCAATCGAAAAGATGGATCACAAAAATCTGGAAATATCACCACTCCATGTGACAGTTATAAAGCAGTACTCTAAACAAAAGATAAAGTTGAATATGATACAACTATCCCATAAAACACTAGACAACTTCTCTGATCAAGCCTTGCTACAGAAAGTAATGTATCAGGCATTTTAAGAGCATGACCTGAACCAGATTTAATGCATTCAAATTCAGAACTTAGAATATTTAGTAGATATGAAATATAAATTACGCAAGAGTAAATTATGTAGCACTAACATATTATGAACATATTAATTTTTTGATGGAAAACAAAAAGTAAACTGATCTGCATACTAAACAAAACAGTTACAGAAGTTGAACTTATTTTAAATAATATTTCAATAACGTGAAGTAAAACGAAACTTTTAAAAGTAATAAAAGTGTTAAATTATATTTCATTTCACATTATTGAACTACTGTTTATTTAACAGAAAAAGAGAAGAATAAAAATTTTGTCCATACAATGTTAGAATTCATAATGTCAAATAGGGTTATGTTCTCTCTCATTGTGCAATCTTACATGTAATCCAAGTTATTCCCCATCCAAGATAACATAAAACTACCTAATCACACTAATAGCTTCAAAAGTTATATTCTGTTATATACATGGTAGGTAAGTCTTCAACATGGAACAGTTGCAATATACAAATATGTATATATTTCAGGTTTTATTCAACTCTATTTCACCAGTATATAAATGATAATGACAAAGTTGTTTCTTAACAATCCATTATGTAGATATTATATGATAATTATTTAATAAATAATTGCCCAGATTTTCAGTATTCTAGTATGCAGATTGAATACAGAATAAAGAAGCAAATGAAATAATTTTTCTTCATATAATTTATTAGCTAACTATGCTTTTCACACTATCTCTAGATTTCTTACCAACACAAATATATGGAGTAAAAAACTTGCAAATAAAAAACAAATTGTTACTTTTTTCAACATTATTAACATCACAAAAATATATCCATGGATCTAAATAGCTTACTAATAAGTCTGGCTTTGGCATTTCCCATTCCAGGAATTCACGCAAATCCCTTAATGTGACAATGACTACACAGCACAAAAAAGAAGAAACACCAGCACCAAATCACTTCAGTCTCCCCGCTAATAGCATACATGACATATACAACAGCAGAAAGTTGCCTTCACAATAACCAAACTATCATTAACATGAGACCACAGCTTTGTAATCTGTATTTTTTTATAGTTACCCTAGCTTTGATCCAATTTATATATGTATACAAGAAGGACTTGGTGTCAATATGAAGCTTTTGTCAGTAAACTTAATGCTGTCACTGTAAAACTAATATCCAAAAGCAGCCATAAAAAAGCTTCTACAACGTGATCACTACTCTGACAAGGCCTTATAACTACATGCAATAATCAATCCTGTATCTTAAAGTAACCTGCTTTAATTATATACCTGCATTTAATTTATATTACTAATATGAAGCAATGACCTTTTCTGCAGAGTGATAAAAATACAATCCATGGAAATTACCAGTGTTTACATTTAAAATCACTATAATTATAATAATAATAAACTTTGACTTTTGATAATGCATATTATGTAGGCTAAGTTTATTTGCTTTAGTCTAATAACTTAAATTACTCTTTGAAATGCAGAAAAGATTTATGATTTATATCATAAAAAATATTTTAACTGATAGATATATATATATTGTAATATATGTGAAATAAACACGAAAAAGGTGTATGTAACTACAATTTCACAAAATAATACAATTAGTTTCAGCACTACCTTTTATAATCATGTTCGTTTAAAGTTATAATTCTTTTTCCCATTTCAGTTGCATAAAGTTACACAGAGCATAGGAAATGAGTCTAAGCCTAGGTATATGAATACATTTTCTGTTGTTTTTTTTTAAATTGTTTCAAAAATCTCTTGCAATTATCATTGCAATAAACCACATACAACTTAATGAATTAAGGCAAAGAGGCAGGTGAAAATGTTCATGAAGCAAGGAAAACTGGCCTTCTAAAAAGTAACATTTAATGCACATGCTTCACAAGTGTAGGTACTATGAATTAAATTCAAAATATATTTTTACCTTTACACCAGGTACACCATCCTCTCCTGTAAGCCCTGGCTGACCTTTCTGACCTTTCACTCCTAGTGGTCCTAGAGGGCCATCCTTGCCTCTTTTTCCCTAGCAAATGCAATGTTAATTTGTCATGTTTAAATTAATGTGCACAAAATTCTATCATAGCAAAATTAATATTAAAATAACAAATTACTGTTTTACAGCATTGGAGAATATAAAAATAAGATGCTGAACTAAATCAAGAAAATGCAAAATAATAGGTATTAAAAAGTGTAATAGTAAACAGGGACCTAAAATTCAAAAAATCAAAATCAACACCAGTATTGACATTACTTGATATTTATAAATAACCAAATTTCAAAATTATCCACTATTTAATTACCAATTTGGCCCTTTTAAGTGTTTAAAACTATAAACACATAATCATGAAAACTACCTACCTCACATAAAAAAAAAATTAACATGCATAAGTTACTACTGTCATATATCAGCTTTATACATATATTTATTCAAAGCTTTATAGGTATACGTACACATGTTATGTAGAATCATAGCACAGTGTACATGCTAAATATAATCTCAGTTAAACTTCATATTTGTTTATCAATAACTTACTCTTGGGCCTGGGTCTCCTCTTTCTCCCTTCTCTCCTTTAGGACCAGGTGCACCAAAAATCCCCTATATTTTATGAGATGAAATACTAAAAATTATTCTTGATGACATAACTATTTGTAGAAGAAAAAATATGCAAACAAATACTTGCTAAAAGTATTAAAATATTTAACCACGTATCCATCATCATTATTTCATTCAATATTTACTTACTTAGTTTTGCATCCACTTTCTCATTACTTTTCTATCATTGTTCTACTTTAAATTAGGCATCTATCTCTTTACCTATCCTTCAACTTTCTTTCTATCTGTTAATCTATGTATGTTAATCAGCTATTTATTATTTATCCATGCCTTAAAAATCTTTTAACATTCTTTGAAAAGGTTATTGTTTATGTAGATGAGGGTAAGGGTGTAGATTCGGTGTATCTGGATTTTCAGAAAACATTTGACAAGGTGCCATATAAAAGGCTTGTAAAAAATTAATT